TTGGGAGGATGAGTAAAGGGGTTTGAAAAAAAAAAGAAAAAGAAAAAGGGGGTAAAATCTTGTATTCATTGGTCGCACTCACCACCCGTTTTCTCCTCCCCTTGACTCCCTTAACTCCACTATTCCTCTTTCCTTCTTCAACAAACCCCCTCACCCTTTTTCGACACCCACTTTTACCTATATATTTCTTCCCCCTTTTCATCCCCCTTAGCTACTATCTCTTTCCAATGTCTATACTTCGTCCTTTTCTTTTCTTTTTTTTTTTTCTTTTACTTTTTATTCTGATCCTCGTCCTTATCATCCTCATCGTTGTCTTCGTCTTCGTCTTCGTTCTAGTTGTCGTTGTCGTTGTCGTTGTCGTTGTCGTTGTCGTTGTCGTAGGGCATCCGGTGCTACGATCCTTTTCCCGATTTTACGACCGATTCTCGTATATATATATATATATATATATGTATGTATATATATATATATGTATATCGCAACTCGTGCAACGATAGGCTAACTCAATCTGGACTAGGAAGGTAGCAGTGAACGAGACCGGCATACGAATTTGATCCTACGATCGAATATTCTCTTCTTTCTTTCCTTTATCTTTCTGTCATACGTTCCTTTCTTTTTTCTTTTTTTTTTTCTTTCTCCTTTTCTTTATCTTTTTATTTTATTTTATTTTATTTTTTTTTCTATTTTTATTCTACCTTCTTTTTCTTATTTTTTATTTGGTGATGTTTTATTCGGAAAATTTGTGAATAGGAATTTGATGATTTTAACATTGAAATATAATTGTTTGTTGTGATATAAAATAAATTATTGAAATAATTCTTTCAAGATAATTATTAGGATTTATATAATATATTAATATATAAAACAAATAATTTTTAGGATAAATATTAAAATAATTATATTAATATTATTATTTAATATTATATTATTATTATTTAATTTATATTATTTAAATATATATTTTATTGTTAAATATTAATCATATAATATAAATTATTTTTTAATATTTTATATATTCATAGATATTTAATATATTATGATTAAGTAGTATAGTATACTATAAATATATAATAAATAATATAATAAATTATTATTATATATTTAATAATAAAATATATATTAAAATAATAATAAATTAAATATTAATAATATAATATTCTATAATAAACAATAATATAATATAATTAATATATACTTTTACTTATATAATTAATATTATAGTATTTTAGTTCATACATATACAGTATTTTATATTACTTTATATATATTTATAAATAACTCTCTCTTAGATACTTAATATTATAATATTAATAATATAATATTAAATTATATATTAATAAAATAAAAATTAATATATTAATATTTAATATATATTATGTAATTAAATATGTAACTTGTTACCTACATAAATATACAACCATTAAATATTTAAATACATTTATATATCCTAATATAAAATAAATCAAATTATTATAACTACTAATAATAATAAATAATGAATCTCTAAATAAAAAATATTAAAAAAAAAAAAACTGAAAAGAAGCATGGTGTCTTTAGGATAAAGATCAATGCATAATCATCAATTCAACTTTGACTGATTAAAATAATAATTATAAAGAAAGGGATGAGGGTAGAAAATAAGGGGTGGTGTTTTTCACAGATAGATAGGCAGGCAAGTAGATTTTAGAAAAAGACGTACCTACGTATAAAATCCAATGATAACGAGAAAATTCCGGAGGTAATCGAAAAGCTCAAACTACATTCATACATATATATGCACTCACACACAGATATACATACATACAGAAGTACTTCTTCACATCGAGAGAGAGAGAGAGAGAGAGAGAGAGAGAGAGAGAGAGAGAGAGAGCGAAGTTGGTGGAAGTGCATCGATAAAGCGCGAGATAACGATCAAATCGACTTCCATTCCGATCACGTGCACTTGACGAGTATCGTTTTCAATGCGGTGCTGATTGCAATTATCTGCCTGGTTGCCTACCTCCTCCTCTTACCTCCTATCTCCTCCTCTTACCTCCTCCTCCACCTCTATCTCATCCTCCTCATTCTGACGTTAGAACGAAATGTATCGAGATTTTTTTCGACTAACGTTTTCTACAATTCCCTTTCTATATTTTGTCCTTCTTTCGTTCTCGTTAAAACGAGTGTGTTATCGATTAAACGAACTTTCTATCTTTCTATCTTTCTATCTTTTTATCTATCTTTCTATCTTTTTCTTTACTCGATAACACGTTCCTCGAAATACGACACGTACGTACCTATCTACCTATGTATGTGTACTATCTATGTTTGTGTACGTACCTACCTATCTATCTATGATATGTGTATGTGTGTGTGTGTGTGTGTGTTTGTGTATGTAGTGTATGCATAGCACGTATACGTGAGAGGAAAGTTAGGAGGGGTTGGGGTTAAGGGTGGGGGTGTATGCTTTTGACGACACAAAATCGCACTAAGCGTTTCCTCGATTCCTTTTTTTTTTTGGTTCTTTCTTTCTCTCTCTCTCTCTCTCTCTCTCTCTCTTTCATACTTTGTCCCAACATTTTTGGTTTTTTTTTTTTTTTTTGAGAAAAAAGTATAAAAAAAGGAACAAAAGTATCATAGGCTAGTCCAGGTATCTACACTTAACACGTGGCACCGACGTATCCACGAATGATACAAAAATTTGGCTTCGCGCCGTCGATTGTTTTATCTCTTTTTCTCTTTTTCTCTTTTTTTTTTCTCTCTAGTCCTCCTGTTTTCCTCGTTTTATTTTTATTTTTTTTCTAATTCCGTTTCTGTTTCTTTTTTTATTTGGTTTTGTTTTCTAGAAATGGGGGAGGGGGTGGGGTTGTTGTTACGATCGGTGACGATTTTTTCGAAGCCATTACTCGTATCTATCTCTTTTTTCTATTTTTTTTTTTGTTCTTTTTATCTCGTCGTAGTTGACGTCGTCGTCGTTGGTTGAATGCAACAAGAACAGGAGAACAAATCTAAATAAAAAAAAAAGGAATTATTTATCGAGAGAGAAAGAGAGAGAGAGAGAGAGAGAGAGAGACACACACAGAAAGAGACAGAAAAAGACAGAAAGAGACGAAGTCATTGGATTCAATTTGGTTGAATCTTTTTTTGATTATACAATAAAAAAAAAGAGACAACATGGAAAGATAGGAACAATAAATAAAAAATGTTAAAATAAATCAATAAAAGTAGTGAGGTTTTTTCCGAATAGTAGTGAGGTTATTTCCAAAATGTAGTGAGGTCTTTTCCCATAAGTTCGTGTAAAAGGATGTAAAAAACATGGGGTAAGGGAATTTTACACGACGATTCGAAACGTCACGAAACAATAGGATAAAACGGTCGTGTAACGAAAAGAAAGAAAATAGATACACGTACAATTGTAATAGTAGTAGTTATAGTAATAGTAGTAGTAGTAGTAGTAGTAGTAGTAGTTAAAGGGTAAAAGGGAAACTACCTGGAGATGTTTTTTTCGGATAGACTCGTGTCGCTCGAAAAAAGCATTCGCGAAACACGAAGATTCGTTCTGCTATGCCACAAAGAATAAAAATACAGTTTTCACCGGTCAAAGATAAGCGCGTGGGCTTTTAAAAAGCAAACGGAAGGAAGGGAAAACCCTTTACTCCTCGGTTTGCGTGAAAAAAAGAAACAGAGAATTTATATACATATATATGTAGTTGATGTTTCAAAAATTATTAACAAAATTCATACGTTGTTTAAAAAGATTAGAACATTTTTCATTTCATTTCACTTTTTATATACAAGTATCATATATTGGATTATTTATTTATACAACGTATATGAATAAAAGGAAATTATAAATTAAATTATTATACTGATTGATAATATCATTAGTCCTTCTATTTGTTTTTTTAATTAGACTACTATTAATTTAGTAAAATATAAAAAATAATGTATAAATAAAATTATATAAATAGAAAAAATATTTAAAAAAAAAAAACAAAAACAGAAACTCTAATAATTATATTAATTTTATTAAATTATATTCAACTTCAAATTTACTTTACATATATTTAAAATAACAAATTTATTTCTACAATTAAATATAATTTTAATAAAATAAACCTATAAACCAAATATTATAATGATCAATAATATAAATAAATAAATTAAATAAATTAATTGTTTCGTTAAATACAAAAAAACACTAAGTTTCTTTCAAATATTTTAATATAAGTTGTGCGTGTGTGTGTGTGTGAAGTTGTTGAAAAAAAAAATCCAATATTAAATTGTCTCACTTTTTCTTCTCCTTGGTATGATAATTTTGAAACACCTTATATTTTTATATACATATATATATGTATTTTATATTTGAGCACGTTTTACGCGTTTTTTTCAAGCCACTTTTCATTCGTTTACAGACTATCACGTTACACAATCGAACTTTCCCTCTCTTTTCCTGCCTGTTCCACTTTTGTAACAAGTAACGAGACTATCCAACGAACGAAAAGAAGAAAGTTAACTTTATCGAAGTAACGTTTTTGTAAAATATATATAAAAAAAGAAAGAAAGAAAGAAATAAAGAAAGAAAAAGAAAAAGAAAAAGATAGGAAAAAGATAGAGCCGATCGTTCGCCACAAAAACTTTTCACTTTTCAACGAGCACGAATAGCGAAAAAGAGTGTGAGACTTTGTTAAATTCTTTCTCTGATTCTATTTCTTCTACTTTTTCTAACTTCTCTTCTACTTCTGTTTCTTTTTCTCATCTTTTTCTTTCTTCTTTTTTATTGTTTGATATTTGTGATTTTTGATCATCAGGATCAATCAGAATTTGATCATCAGAATCAATCAGAATTTAATCATCAGTTTTACTCTTTAGTTTTATTTCTATTCATTGTGTATTTTGTTTTGTTTTGTTTTGTTTTGTTTCTTATTTTAAAATTACTTTCGAATATTTTATAATAGAAATGTTAATAATTTAATATAAACAACGTTTTTTAAAAAACCTTTTTCTAATTTGTATTCCAGGATGGCACTTATACGTTAAACAGCGAAATGGAAGCTTTGGGTCTTTGTCCTCACGATCCAAGACACAACAGTACAGCTGTATTTGTTGGTAAGCATTTAAATGACTACTAATTAATACTAATTTTATTTCTAATTATTCTTCTGCTAATTTCAAATATAATTATCATATTTAAAACACAAAATATATATATATATATATTGGAATAGTAGTTTATTATTTATTGTTAAAGTAATTTGTGGAAGTGAATTTATGAAAATTATTTAAACTCGTTAACGTGAAATAAAATTTTTTTTTTTTATCATTTGTAAAACAATTAATTTTTTATTGTAATATATATATATATTTTATTATAAATTATTTTTATTATTGTTATTTTTTTTTATATCGTTTTATAGAAATACATAAATCATTTAGAAAAATTTATCGTTAATAAAAGAAATTTATTAACACTAGATTTACGAATTGAGCCAATTTGACTCATTGAACATTTGATTATTTTATATATTTATAAAATTTAAATACTATTTTTTGAAAACTTATTGGTTTTTAGTTACGTAATGAAATATACGTAAATATTAGTTCAATTCCTTTACTCAATCCTTTATTCAAACAATGTTATTACGTCATTAAAAAATAATGAACAAAACATCCGTAAATCTAGTGTTAATTAAATAAATTTATTTAACTAATTTTATTAGATTTAAAAGAAATATATTTAAAATGAATATATATTATTATTTTATATTTTATTATTTATTATACATTATTTTTATTATATTATAATACATTTTTATAATATTTATTATATTATTATTTCTATATATTATTATTTTATATATTAATAGATTGAATTTATAAATATATTTCTTAACTTAATTAATTAAAACATTTCTTCCCTTATTGTAATTTAAAATTCAATTATTTTAATTATAAAACAATAACAATATATTTTTAATTATATATATATATGGTTATAGTCAAATTTGTTGAAAACAATCATTCCATTTATTAATATAAAATTAATATATGTTTAATTAATTAATTTATCGAATTAACATATGTTACATAAAACAAATCTACGTTTCTTCGTCAATTTTAAATCTTCCAAAGTAGTAGAAATAAATAAAAAAAAAAAAAAAATGAAAGAACAGTAAAGAAAAAAAGAAAAGAAGAAAAATGTACTATACAGAAAAAATCGAGTTCACTAGGGGGTTGTTGTTATCTATGTGCTAACACGCGAGAGCACTGTGTTAAACCCTTTGTTTTTCCCTTTTTTTTTTCCTTTCTTACTTTCTTCTTTTTTTTTCTCTTTTGTTTTTTTCTTTCTTTTAATTTTGTACTTCTTCTTCCTTTTTTCGTAAAATTTTATTTTATGTTTTTTGTTTTTTATACCAAGCCGAGGTTAAACATCTCGGGCGTGTTTTGTGTGAAAATTATACGAAAGGATTCTAAATGTTGACTTCGTTTTCCCTCCCCCCCCACCAAAAAAAAAAAAGAAGAAAGGGAGTAGGTGGATGGTGTATGCACAACATGTAGATATACATAAAAAGAAAATAGAGATAAAGAAAAATAGGATAGGAGAAAAAGTAAGAGAAAGAAAGAGAAAGAAAAAGGGTGGTTTGTAGGATGGTTTGTAGGGTATGGGAGTGGATGGGTGGATGGAGTATTTAAATGGGGGAAATACTCTAAGGCTATCTTGGTTACTTTCTTTTCTTCCTTATTTCCTTTCTTCCTTCCTTAGTTCCTTAGTTTCCTAGTTCCTTTTTTATTTATTTGTTTTTCCTATCTGTTCCAGTTTTATTTTGTTTGTTTTTTTTTTTTTTTTAATGCTGTTACATTGGTTTTTTTGGTTTTTATTTTTTTATATTTTTTATTTTTATTTCTTCTACTTTCTTTCTTTCTTTTTTCCTTCCATTTTTCGCTAGCATAAGGAAAAAAGCACACAGTCAAAAGCTTTTCCGGATTCGAAGGAAAAAACAAAAATGAAAATAAAAGGGCAAGAAAAGATACTCGACGTTTGCTTTTACATCTTACCTCCCCGATAGGGTTGAGAATAGGGTGAAATGTTACTATACATACTCATATATATTATATTTTTATATTATTCTAATTATTCTATATAATTATATTTTTTTTGTAATTTATTATATTAACAATTTATGAGGAACATTTTCTCGTTGATTTGATTAGATATTTTTAAAACAAAACTTATCACTAGATAGAGAAGTATGTTTTATTATTTTTGTCTTTTATTTTTATTCTTTTATAAAAGTTAATCCCTTGTTTACATTGTTGTTAGATTTACAAAAAAAAAAAAGTGCATCAGGCAAAAAATTATAATAATAAGGGATAATAAAATGAAGTGTGATATAAAAGTGTACAGTAAAAATAAAAATAAAAGGAACATTATTATTCAAATTGTCAAAGAAATGCACAGTGATGATGTGTTATTTTTCAACAATCCAAGTTTCAAATTAGAAAATATTTTCTCACTAACTATAAAAAAAATATATATATATACATATTTTTAAAATAAAAAACTTTCTTTTTTTACAGATATACATATTTTTTTATTCTATTCGATTAATAGAAAACAACAAAAAGAATTAATATTAAAATAAATCATTGATAATCTTTTCAATATCGAAATTAATATTCCTATATATATATATATATATATATATATATATAGATAAATAAATAAAAAAAAAATGTAAGAAAGAATAAAAAAAAAAAACCTGCAAATAAAAAAAAAAATTACACACGTCAGTCGTGTAGTGTAAACGTCAAACTGAAAAAAAAAAAAAAGAAAATAATAGAAAAAAAATTAATAAATATAATATCTCTCTTTCAACTTTACCCTCTTGATTTTTACACGCTAGAAAATAGAAGAAAATAAAACCAAAACCAAAACTAAAAAAGAAAAACAAAACCTAAATATAACTTCTCTTTACATTAGCGAAATATTATTTCCTCTTTTTTTATTTTATTTTATTTTATTCTTTCTATTCGTGCGTATATATATGTGTGTGTGTGTGTGTGGGTATTTTTTAAAAATACATTTCGTCAGGAAATAGCTGTAAAATACATTTTCCAATCGTACATTATCAGAGGGGACAACCGCATGGTTTTGACAAAGTGAATTGGGTACTCGAGCGTTCCACGATCCTTCGTCCAACGCGAGTGGTCTCGTCGTCATCGTAGTCGTCGTTATTGGTCGACCTAAACCACCCCTTTCCTACCCCCGTACCTTCCAACCTTCCTCAACCCCTTCCCTATCTCTATACTTCATATTTATATATATATATATATAGATATATATGTATATGTATGTCTGTCTGTGTATGTATGTATATGAAACCTACTGGGTGTACAACCTAATTTTAACACCTGAAATATTTCACCTATCCTCTCCCCCTAAGGCCCTTCCTCCTCCTCCTCTTCCTCCTTCTCCTCCTCAATTTGCATGCATTATTGCACTTGTGAAAAGAAGAAGAAGAAGTAAATAAAAAAAAAGTATGAATCGTGAATGTATAATATTATCTAAATTTTAAACTATTCATTTGTGTGACATTTTTTTTTATTCTTATTTATTTATTTTTTTTTAACTTCAATCGAAAAAAATATAGGAGTTTGTAACCATTGCATAAATCGTATGATATATTATTTAAAAAATAAGAAACAATTAATTCTAATTTACATACTTGCATAAAACATTCTACAATTATTCTACAAATATTTTTTTCTAATAAAATATCAATTAATATTATGAAAAACATTAGTTTCTAAAACCAAAAAAGAAAAAAAGGAATAAGAGATAATTGTATCATTAAAATATGACACCCAATATATTTCAATTATACCTGCATGCAAATATAATATACCTATTCTATTTTTTTCTTTTTTTTTTTAATTTCAATCACAAAATATATACGAGCTTGTTAACATTACATAAATCGTATAAAATATTAAAAAAAAAAAAATAATAATAATAAATTAACTTATCATAATTAACATACTTGCATAAAATATTCTACAATTATTCTGCAAATATTTTTTTCTAATAAAATATAAATTATTATTATTATGAAAAAAATTTGCTCATAAATACAACAAAAAAAAAAAAAATAATCAGAGATAATTGTATCATTTAAAATATGACACCCAGTATATTTCAATTATACCTGCATGCAAATATAATACACCAATTTGTAAATGTGTGTGTGTATGTATGTATGTATGTATGTATATATGAACTCGCGTGTTTTAGATATGTGAATATAGGTGTAACTATTGTTATTGAGTATAGGTGTGTGTTACTGACGTGTATTTACAGATGATCCGAGAAACCCATATCACACATACATATACACATATCCATACATAAATAAAACACATATGTATTAGTGAGACATATTATATATGCATATGTATTATATTCATATACATAGAAAACAAAATGACAGGAGTAGGTAGGATGAGCACGCATAAAGCACTCAACGAGTGCACACGTCGTGTCACGAGTGCTTATAAGTTCCGCATGCGTGACAACCATACACGCAATATCCACTCACCCGCCATTATTTTTTTCTCTTCACTACGCTGATTTTTACCCCTCCCAACCCCCATTTCTTTTCCTTTCGTATTCACGTTAGTATTATATCACGTTTTGTTTTTTTCTTTCTTTATTTTTATATTTATTAGGTGTTGGAATTAATTCGTAAGAGCTTTTTTATTTTTTTTGAGTTACTTTATTTTATTATAATAATATATTAAATAATATAGTAATTATTTAAATATAATATAATATAATATAATTAATATAAATTAGTTTATAATAATAATTATTTAATAAAGATCGTAATAGCATATTTTATATATTTTTTTATATAGGGGCTATCTAAAAGCTCCTATATAAATAAGGGCTAAGTTTATTTACATATACTTGCATATAGTTATAGAAATATTTGTAAAAGCATGTATATATATATATATTACAATATATTTATTTAAATAATAATATATAAATAAAATATAAATTTGTTATATTTTATTTATAAAATATTATTATAAATATATATAATAAA